CAGGCAATCCACCTCCCCCGCCCTGCCCTGCTGATTTTCCCAACTCCGAGGTTTTCTCAGTTTATTTATTCGCGATGGTACGCGTAATTTCGTGCATAAATATTTTTTTCAAAAAATATTCAGAAAAAAAAATATATTTTTTTAAATAAGTAGGTAGTACTAGCAGTGGTAGTGGCGGGGGTAGGTCGGGGGCGGGTGATTGGTGGAAGAAAGAAATACAACAACACTATTGTACTCCGTACTAACTACTGCTGCTACTTTATAAAGGGAAGCAGGTCGTTGAATTAGAAAAGAAGGCGGTGGGTGCGGTGCTGTTGGGGAAAAAGAAACCTAGGGCGGTGAGCGGTGGCTGGCTGGCTGGCTGGATTATAAACTGCTGCTGTTATTATTAGCTCCAAAGAAAATTTTATTATTATTAATTTTTAAAGATCGGACATTAGGAACAGGTTTTATATCATCCATCGATCTAAATTGGACGGATGAAAATTATCTTTCTTTCTCGCCATCTTGTCTTACCTTTTTTGTGTTGATGAATAAACGGACACTCAGTTTTATGTTTCAGGATTGGGACGAGCGGATCCACATCCTCTGTCAGTTCTATATATGCTTCAGTTTTATGTTGCGTCAAGTTTTACGGTTCTATTTTTTGAAAGGCAGGTACGCTAGTTTTTCCTTTTTTGGTGGGGGGGGGGGCGGGGGGAGGGCGTGGTTCCCGGTTCCAACTTGCAGCCAACGACTTGAGAAGTCGCAGCAGCCACACAATGGACGCGTCTACGAGTCGGTCGCATGTACCGAGTACGACTGTTGGCGGAGGAACGTTCTTCCGGTACTCTCCAGCCAGCGAGCCGAGCAGGTGGCCTAAATCGATACCTCCACCTGCTCTTTCCTTTCCAATGCCTCTTGCCTTCCCTACAAATTCAATTTGACACTCCGCAGACTCCCAAACTGGTCCAGCATCTACGACTACGAGAGGCCATCATTTTTGCTGCTGCACTGCAAGTCTGCAACCATTCCTTCCTCTTCTCCTTAGCATTAAATTTTTGGCTGTCAGACTCAAAACATGTGATCCCTCCCGGGCATAGAAAGGATAAAAGAAAACCCAAATGGTTTCTTCTTCTTAATTACTTTAAAGAAAGAAAAGAAGTTTGGATAAAGATAGATTCTTGAGCGATCGTAGTTAAAGTGAGTGCTTTGATTCATCATAATATCATCATATTCATATTGCTTGCTAAGCAGAGAGGAGAGGAGGAAGGAATTTGTGTACTATTTAATAGTACTTGCAAATGCGCCGCTTTGAAAGGCGAATGGCATGTTTAACCTTCAAGTGGACAGTCGAAAATAAAAATGTACTCGCACTAAAAATTTTTTTTTTTAAAAAAAAAAAGGAAAGAAAAGTTGCACTCAAATGCTTGTTTATGCCGGCTTTTGAGGTTAATTTTGGGATTAGGTTTATAAAACAACAAAAGTCTGATTCAGGCTGTTGAAAAAAAAAATGCTTGTTTATGCCTTGAAATCATAATCAAGGAAAAATTGCATAAACCTCTCCTAATGTTTCTGACACAAACGCTCACATTCCTTGTAATTTATTTAGAAGATAGCATTGACCACCCTTGAACTTAAGGATTGTGTTGCATATTCGGTTCATGCTAGAAAAGTTACCTCTAATAAATTGTTTTAAGGAGTGAGATTAGAACTTTGTGCCAGATTTACCCTTCATGCTGTTTGTATCGATATGCAATTAGTTAGAGTATAAAAGTAAATTCATACAATTTATTGTTAGCAATAGATCCAATTTCCTCTTAGGGAGGTTAGTGCTATTTTAGAAACCAAAAAAGAGATGAGTGCTAATGTTAAAAACCTCAGGGAAGGTTTTTCCAATTATCCCTATAATCCAATGCTCAAAAGGGGATATGAAAGTAAAGTTTAAGGGGAATGTTGTGTTATTTTTAAAATTTCAGGGAGATTAGTGAAAGTGTTAGAAACCTCAGGGGAGGCTTCTGAAATTACTCCTAAATTTTATGTGAAATGCACAGTTTCCCGTCCTTTCTCTTCTCTTCCTCTTTTCGAACCAAAACAGGGCCTCTTCTTTTCCCTTTTTCTGTCCCAATCTCCCAAACTAGGTATTATAAAAATAAAAATAAAAAAACTAGGAGTAAAGAATCCCAAAGTGGAGCAACTGCTCTGAATTTGAGGGATGATGGGTGCGACCCTACCATGGCAGCATCTTGTACCTTCAAAACCCATTGGTCTATGTCCAGCCCAGAACCACAAGCAATTCATTCCTCTCCATTGCCAAGTTTCCAAAATACAGGCCTTTAGGCGCAGCGACTTTGATGTTTTTGCTCGGCGCATAACTTCCGGCGAGGCCTGGAGGGACGCCTGGCGGAGGGCCAATGATGGCTTCGAGCAGCTCCTCTACGAGACCAAGAAGACCGCCGAGCGCCTAGACCGCCAATACTCCGTCTCTCGCCGCCTCTCCGCTGTCACTCGTTCTGCTGCCGACCGCGCCCGGGAAATCGATCGTGAATTCGAGCTCACCCAGCGCTGGCGGACTTTTTCTCTCGATTTCAGTAGGAATTGGCCGAGGGTTTGTATTTGTACATCCTTTTTCCTGGCCTTTTCTTTTTCTTTCCAGTAACAAGCATTTTCTTGTCTTCTACGTTTTACAAGATGATGCATGGTCAAAAGATTGTTGCTTTTTTTTTTTAAAGATTAATTTAATAAAGACATTGAAGCTTTATTTAACTTTCCAAATTCCAAACAGGTCGTGCCTACTGCTAGTTTTTCTTTCCAAGCCTGTTGAACTAGTTGAATTTAACATACCATGAAAGCATTTTCTGAGTAGCACGATCTGTTAAATGTCATATTAGCTAATTAGTTCTCAGATTTTAAGTCACTTGTAGCCGTTTTAAGTGAGCGTTTAATAATCCCATTGTTCTCTTCTTTGTGGGGATTATTTTTGCAGAACAGAAAGCAGTTCATTGATTTTCTTGACACTCCACTGGGAAAAAGTTTTACCGTAAGTATCACTGTATTTCTTTACCTTAGTTTTGGATTGAAATTATGTGCTCCAGCATCGAGTAATCTTCTTCATTAAGCATCACAACTTGGAGGCTTGAAGTGTTACGTGTATCTTATAATCCAAAGATTGGTTGAATTTTTTTTAGTTCAATGGCTCTTTGCTGCTTGTCTTGGGACATTTTTATTTGATATCAGTGATAAGTAAGTTAAATCTTCTAAAAGTTTAAAGGTTTACTGCTAACTGGCTTAACCAAAATCATCTTTTTTTTTTCTTGGGTAAGAAAGAAGAAATGCATCAATATAAAAAAGCTAAGAACCAAAATCATCTATGATGTTTAAGGTGTAATGGAAATTGGCTCAACCAAAATGCTCAGTGGAAGCTTGAAATTAGGTTTTCTGCATACACTTTGGCCCTAATATTTACGTATGTCAACAATGCAAAAAAGTTTTTGTAACATCATATATGCTAAATCATAAATCTTCTGGCTAGACATCGACAATAAAAATTTATATAGCTAACTGGATGAATATAAGGGAAAGAAATCGAAGCAGACCTGCATACAAAGAAGAATGTTATAGTTGCATAGATAATTGATATTTCTGTTTGTGGCTTGAATCTATTTTATCTGTCTCTGTCTCAGGTCATGTGGCCCATACCCTTCTGATATTTCTATAGTAATAACACGCTCAAATGTTAGCATGTCATGCTAAAATGCTAATAGAATTTTCTGTGTGTAGACAATTTTCTTCCTGTGGTTTGCTCTTTCTGGATGGCTGTTTCGTTTCCTGATATTTGCAACATGGGTGCTGCCATTTGCTGGTCCTCTTTTAATAGGGGCTGTTGCCAACAATCTTGTCATCAAGGTAAATGGAATTCTTTGGTGGCTCTTTGCAATTGTACATCAGGGATGAGAGTGAAGCTTTTCCTTCCATAAGTAGTTTACATGTGAATGCACATTGGATGCAGGGATGTAGGGTTTTCCGGCAACTTAACAGAATAGTTTTGTTCCTTGTGGCAGAATTTCTGTGCCAGGAATAATTTACTGATTTGCATAGAATTACCATTTACTGAAATGTGACTTCTTAGAAGAATATTACCTAAAAATGGGTCTGTACTTAACGTGTTTGTATGAGCAGGGAGCATGCCCTGCATGTAGGAGACAGTTTGCTGGATATAAAAACCAGACGGTTCGTTGTGCAAGTTGTGGAAATATAGTATGGCAGCCTCAAGGTGACTTCTTTTCAAGAGGGAGCCAAGGTTCGAGTTCCTCTTCAAAGTCTGAACATGATGTAATTGATGTTGAGTTCGAGGAGAAATGAATTTCAAATACCAAGTGGCTCCTCTGAGGGTATCTTTACTGATGATGCCTTCCAAAACTAAGATTGATTTTCAGATCTTTCAACTATGAATTAAAAATACCAAGTGGCCAGACTCGGTCTGCATCCACTGAGGATGTCATGCAAAAATATTTAAGGAATTCAAATGTTTTAGCTGTGTATTTAGTTGTGCTTGGCAAAAATTCTTCCTCCTCTTCCTATAGTTGTGCACTGTGGTCTCTGTATGGTCAGTGTTGCTATTTCTGTAGGTGTAAAAAAGTGTTTAGAAGAAAGGTGATGAATGCATAAATTGACTGTTCACAACAACTGTCCTTGTGGACCATGTCACTGTTCCATTAAAGCGGGGAATAGCCTTTTTGAGTTTTTCAATTTTGATAAATATGTCTTGCTTATTCATTTCTATTTTCCGCTTCATGGAATTTCTGTAGAATTGTATTCAATTAAATAGGACATACCAGAAAGAAAGTATTAAGAGTCATGATATAGGGTATTTGATTTTTGTAATGTTTCTTTTGTAACTGGATGGTGGATGGTAAAATGGTTGTGACTAATTAGCTGACAAATGGCTGGTTGTAATCTTTAGGGGCTGGGAAATGGTTGATGTCCAGATGTTCTATTGCTTTTGATCTTCAAGTAGTACAGAAAAGAAGTATCCCTCACCTTCCATTGTTTCCCTGATATGGATAAGCTGTTTAAATGGGACATACAGAAAAGAAAGTATCACAGCCATCAAGCTATAGGCTAATTGATTTGTGTTTTGTTTCCCTTGGAACTGAATCATGGATGGTACGATGCTGGTGACTTCTTAGCTGAGAAATGGCTGGGGTTGTGCCATCTTTAGGAGACTGGAAATGGCTGATATCCAGATGTTCAATTGCGTCTGATCTTTGAATAGTAGCTTGATGATGCCATTGCTTGTCCTCAAACTTAGGAAGAAGTATTCCTCGCCTTCCATTGCTTCCTCGATACAGATAAGCTTGTCTGGAAAAGGAAAAGGTATTAGGTTTTATGTTAAGCTTCCATTGACCCTATTCTTTTGTTTCGAGAAAATATTCATCTCTTGCGAACTGCCTTCCATCCCTCATAACCAGAAAATGATGACAAGAAATATATCAGAGACCTAGTGACCTACTAGCCATAAGCCCCCCAAGGTTTGGAAAGAGGGATTACAGGGCGAAAAAAAAAAAGAGGAGACACAAGTCAACTAATGGGTGAAAGGGGTTATTTTCCTTGCTGACAAAATCAGAAATAGAATAAATAAGGCCATACACTCTTTCGAAATTGATAGGGTTCCTCCAAAATACTTCTTCTTGAAGGACAGTGTGATTTGTTTGGGCTTTGAATGTATGGTGACCCATTTGTGTTCTCTGCGACCTGCATTTTATAAAACATCAGTTTCACAAGCAGAAGTCCTTTTATGTTGGGTATGTTCTTGCATCAAACATTTCCATGTGCACGTCCTTTTATAAAACATACACTTCTCATTTACCTGATGGGGTGATTATACATATCTCAGTGCAAGCTCTAAGCAGCCCTTGGATCCTCAAGGAGTCTGCCATAGTTCTTGATTTCAGAATTGCAGCACCTCTTAAACCTGATAATTAGGAGCTATTCCACATCATCTATCAAGTTAAAGTTCTTAAGAGTCGATGAGTCATTTACTTAAGAGGGTCATAACAAGAGGAAGAAATGTACAAGAACGGAAATGCAGTTGGACAGAAGAAAATTTATTAACATTACATGTTGATGTTGTTGCTGTTACTGCCATCATGTCAATAGGATTACTGATGGCCAGGCCAGAATTGACTGCAGATGCAAGTTGAGCTCTATCTGCACCTAAAGATTCTGCTGCCTCAGCACATACAGTAGTCATCAATGCTGCTGCAGTAGCAACAGCACCTCCCATTTCCTCGTATATTGCCCTTGTTTCACCATTGCCTTTTCGGTTGATGTTTTGTGCTTCTGTGCTGGTACTGGTTGCAAAGCCTGCAATTGCTGCAGCAAGCTCTGTAAGTGAAAGTGCAGCATGTAGTCTGGCCGTGTGGCATCGAATTTCATCTTTCTTCTTCTCTTTACAAGATCTGAAGAAGCCAGAGAGCGATTTGCCTTTTGGCCATCCTTTCACGTGATTCAAGTTCATCTACATAACCAAAATGTACATAATATCAAGATGAGGGATGTAGAGTACAACTAGATGATTTTTAACCTATCCTATGAGCATAAGAGCACTGGACTAGCTGTGGGGAACAAGGCCGGAGCACAAATTTGGGAAGAAAAAACGTTTACTAACTTGAATCGCTTTTCTAGAGAAGTTGGCATTCAAAGAGTTGTAACACAGGTCTGTTTCAGTTGAATATCACCTGGCAAATTTCTTGCACCTCCAAGGCTAGGGATGACTGTGAAATCGCTGGTTATTACTACTAATAAACGAATGAATTCCTGAACATTGATGGGAGAGATTGATCATTACTCTACTGAATTTCTCGTTGATTACAAGCACCTGGTTCCTTTCTGGGGTGTGCTTCAATGCTGCTTGTGGTTGATTTTCATGATCTTCTGCTCTGGCCCTGTCATACTGGGCAAACGAGAGATTCTACAAATTCAATGCCGCATTTTGTGTGTACAGATTATAGCTCGGAACTCGGTGAACTTTGGATCAAATTCAGTATGTGCTCATTACAAGTTCAATGCATATTCACCTAGTTCGAGAAAGCATGAAAGTACTAGCAGAAGGACAAAAGAGAGACTGAAGTGGATTAATGTCAAAGTTTGGACATGGGGCCACCACTTCATGGTTGCGGTCACGGATGGATCACAATCTTAGATGGTCCCAAACACTCCCAGTTTCTTATGTCTTCGTTGTTAGATTGTTTCTTCATTGGGTCAGTGAACAATTTAACAGGACGAACTTGTTAAGTGCGCATCGTTTGTGCTACGCATGTTTTTGGGAAGTAGCAAACTCACACTTGAAGGAAATAACTGCAGGAAGTTGGAGGCAGAAGGACTCCATGGTCTGCACAGGAACTCCATTGCACTGATGGGGCTCTCAGGAGTATCCATTGGTTCTTCAATTTGAGAGGCCAGAGCCCTTTTTGTGGTCTTAAAGTGCTTTTGAGCTCTGGTCGAATACAAATCCTCTGGGCTGCCAGTCTGAGTCTGACACAATTTCGTAGGAGGATGATAGTTAATTAAGAACGCAAGTCCGTGGGAATTGGAAGATAAGATACTGCTGTATGGACTCGTGTGAAGGTAATAAAACTCACGTGACGGTAGAACGACAGTGGCGGCGACTTGTGTTGAGTTATGAGCGATGTTCCCCTTATTCTCAATTCCTCCGGCGCTTCGTCCATGTCAAGAACTAGCTATTTCACCTGCGAATTGTGATCAGAAAATGCTGAAGAATGAGCCAACGTTTCCTACGACAGTTGAATATTATTTAGAGAGTCAATAAAGCTCTACATTTTTCCCGTGTAGTTTGCGAGACAGTAACGACTGCACCTATAAAAGACATCCACTCAGTGTCCTCCTGGGTGCGCAGTCAACTCGCATCAGATTCAGAATCATGCTCAAGCAGCAGGTTAATGCTTTCAGCAAGAAACACGAATCTCTGCGCATGCAAGTGCAAGTGCAGCATTCCCAGTTACCTTTTTAACCGGTAAGATCGATCAAAAGCTTGGCTGGTCGTCGTCTCATCTCTACTCAAACCAAGAATCAGTAGCGATCCCAGCACTACAGCCTAGACTTTGGTTTGAACGGAACTGGAATGTACTATGAGGAATATAAAAGAAGCTTCTGAAAGAGGAAAGCTGTATTGTATTGGCCAGTCCGAAGGATATAATGACCAAGCGACCGAATTAGGAAACGAAACGCAGTGATTACAGGGGTGGAGGCCGTAGGACTACCCGCCCGGGGGGAGGGGAAAAAAAAAAAGAAAAAAAGGAAAAAGTGGAGCTTACCCCAACTGGAATTGTCCTTGTCTGGGTTGCGGACGATGGATGCTCATTGATTGTTTCTTGTGGATCTGGAAAACAAAAACTGCAACTGGAAGAGGCGAAGACCAACTGGAATTTTTATGTTGATGCTTAAGTAAGAGTTGAAGGGGAAACAAAGAAAAAATAACCTCATAGGTTAGTAGTTTTTTCACCTCAGGTCCATATGTGGATTGGTCTATTAATTTTAGTAAAGATTTTGTGTTGCATCGAATGCAAGGAATGTCGTGGTCTTGGGAAGCATAAGAAAGACGTAATTAGGCTACACATATAAAGATGCATTATATACTATATACTCAACTGCAGTAGAGTAGCAACAGCCAACAAGATGGATGAATGGATGATTGGATGGTGATGCCCTCGATGCTTCTGTGTCATGCATGGTGCCCCAACCCCAAGGAGGCTCCCGCAGTTGAATCTTGAATGCCAGTTAACTATAGGCTATGGAAATGGAACTTGGACTACAACTTCACGTGTGGGAATTGGGATGGTAATGGTACGCTCAAATCCCTATTTTATTTTATGCAGAAAATTAACTAGGTGAATTGGTCGTATGAAAACCACCAACCTTTGAATTGGATGTCACCACCAATGCATTAAGGTTTGGTGAGGTGGGAGGTAAGATTGTCACAATTAAATGTGATCTTGTTTAAAAAATCCAAACGTCACCTCCGGATTATTTCAGAACCTCTTCAGGCCCTCCTCTTCCTGTAGTGTAGGTAGCTATGGTATCGACCAAAAAAGAATTGGTTGCATGAGCTGTCTGCTAGGACTACCTTTTTCCGCTATATACAGTACGAATTTCTTGATGCGTAGACTCCGCAAAAACATGTACTATATATAGAAAAGGCCACTTTCCTTAATTATGCAGTAGGTTGGGATCTACGTTTAGGCATCCAAGATGATCGACATTTGAGGTACTGATAGTCAGCTCTCTTGATACTCAACTCAAGACTCTCCTCGACCTCAGTCTCTCTTTTGTTTTTCAGACCTATTTAGAATTTTTTTTTCTTATCATCCAATCAAATTATCTCCCAACTTCATTTAACTTATTAACCTAGCACGTGAATTACTCCTAATTTTGTTACTTAAATAAGTGCACACACAAGACTTTTCATTGGATCTCTGTGCTTTTCACTAGGTCTCTTGGATTACATCTAGCTTATGAACCTCGCACATGAATTATTACTTTATTTTGTTACTTAATAAGTTCATACAAAGATTTTTCATCAGACTTGGTTATTTCCACGAGTTAGAGCATATCTCTAAAATTATAAGCCACTTACTGACTTGTAGAAGTTCTTATGGATAATTCGATAATACAATTCTTGTATTGATAACGAGATTTGAATACGTGACCTTTGTATGAGGAAATGGTTTGTCACCTTTTTTTTTTATTTTTATTAAGAATGTTGGGATCTTGCATACGCACACACGCATATATATATAAAGGGTTAATCTTTCCTATATTGACAATGTGCATACAATCAGCGTTAGATGAATAACAATCATATAAAATTTGAATTTAAAATTCAACTTTTACACGTATGTCATAGGTGCAACGGTTATAGTGTATACATTGTCATTTATATATATCACAACGTGAGAAATCACCGGATCAACCAGGCTTTTTACTTTAACAAGACCTACACTTATTTGAATTTGACGAGTTAATGAATGTTAAAAAAAAACTTGCTGATCAAACTCATATTCATTAGCTAACTAAAACTTCACATCAACTGAGTTTAAGGCACCGCTTAAACGAGTTTATCATGTAATACCTAAGTATTTGTTCGCTGCGGGTAGGTACCGCTATCTTCGAATTTAAAGCTGCTAATGAGTCTAGTGATTTTGACTTTGCAAGCCAGAGTGTTCGTTTTTAGTATGTTTCTCCCTTGTGTTGTATCTCGTTAAAACTGTTTGTGCCACAAAGAATATTTGTCAAATCCTTGCCTTGTTCAGGCTCAACTGGAATGCTTTTATCTGCGGTTGCATCTTATGATGAGAAGAATATATGTCATTCACATATCCAAGTTCGTAATTGTTGGCGCAAAATCCTATGTTAATCGGGTCTAAACCATTGTTGATGCTGCATTCTGGGAATATTTTTGGCTACTGGAATATTAGAACCGTAGCATCTAGCAAAGGATTCTTCGTTTGGATACCACTAGTTATTTCAAAAAAACTTCATACTATCATCATCTAAAGATGTTCTTCAATGATTTTTTATCTCGCCTATATCACGTTCGAAAGAGTACTATAAGGTTATTTTCCTAAAAATACTATAACGTTGCGAAAAATTTTATTGTAATATCACTGTTGAAAACGCGTTAGTGAGAAAGAAGATAGTTTTAAAAAAAAAAAAAAATGTTTTGAAGTTTTTCCAGAAAAAATGTATATAAATCAATGCATTGGTATCAAAGGATTTAGCCGATGAGTTTTTTATTTCCCCGGCGGCCCAAAGTCCATGCACTCTAAACGGACAATCCACCCCTAACAACAAGGATGCGTGCATCCTGTAAGAATCATCCACGTCTGGCAGACTTCGCAAGAAACTTGTACATTTTTTATAGGAGACACTGTTGATTTGAGGCCTTTAAATTTGGGAAATCCAACATAAAATACTACTAACTTAAACTATGAAAGTAACGAGTTAAAATCAATCAAAAATCACCGCTCATTGTGATGATAGAATGATTCATGACGTGACATGCCATGTGACGTACGTGCTGTGCCCGATACCTTTTGGAATCATATTGCCTATTAATACCATTAAAGCAGTTTTGACCTGCTTACTATCCGATAAAATTGCTTTTCTTCCAAATGTAATATGCCAATTCATAACCATTATTTATACCATATGTAAATTTTATTCAATGTAGAGAAATTAGTTGTGGAATAATATATAATGTGATGAAAGTAGCGGTAATAGCAGTAATTCTATGCTAAACAATTATTCCACTCGTAAGATTTACAAATCGAGGCTTTTTTTTCCAGAATCTTGTGGTTGAATGGTATGTGACACTAAGGTGCAAATAATGGTAATTTTGGCCGTCGACTTCTGGAATCTCAATTAACAGATCGAACAATATATAATATATCGATTAATTTTTTATATATTAATAATATATATATTATTATTATTATTAGTGTATATATCATTATCATTATACTCATCTCAATTTAATTTTTTCGCTGGGAAGTGTATGCACCGGACAATCAAACTCTGAAAAAGCTCACATCTAACCATAGAAAAATACAAAGCTCAGTGGCTACCATCTCTCCTGATGGGGTGAGAGGTCGGGGATTTAACTCTTGTCTCCCACTAAATTGTTTGTCTCTCATGGGCAATTCGGTTGATCTCAGCAAGCCTTCTTAGGAACTGGTGTCCAGTGCCCGCAAGGATCCGAGTCCTGTGGTTAAGGCTGCAAATGAATCGAGCCGCTCGCGAGCGGCTTGAGTCAAGCTCATCAAACTCGAGCTCAGAATATTAAGCTCGTTAGCTCGCGAGTTTGAGTATATATATATATATATATTTTTTATTTAATAATAAAATTAAGTATATTATATATTTTTTTATTTTCATAGTTAAATTACGTAAAATCAATAAACTATACTCCTTACTTTAAAGAGTATAGTTTATAGGCAAAAATACATATAATTTATTTAAAGTACCCGCTCTTTACAGATATTTTATTTTTAAATATTTAATTTATGATAAATATATTAACGTTTGTAATTAAAAATTAAAACGTGTTACAGTAATTATTCTCGCAAAAAGAAAATCAGTAGGTTATCTATTTGATATAAATTAAATATTTTTTTAAAAAAGAAATGGCCCATAAAGTATTAATTGTTTATAGTTTTCATCCATTACATGAGTAAAGTATTAGCTTTTTATGAGTATTTTATCCCGAATCATTTAATTTATGCTAAATACATAAATATTTATAACTAAAATTGAAAAAGTGTTATATTAATATTTCTAAGGAAGAAAAACTGGTAGGTTTTTTATTTAACGAAAATTAAATATTTGAGAGTAAATACAAATCTATATTTGAGAATAAATATTTGTAATAAAGTAAATGTTTGAAAGTAAAATATCCGTAAAGAGCTGGTACTTTAAATAAGTAATACGTATTTGTCTATAAACTACGCTCCTTAAAGTTTATTAATTATTAATTAATTTGTAATACTTTGTCATTCATTGGACATGTAGCACAAATGGCAAATCAGGTACAAAATTCTAATTTCACTCTCTAAAACAATATTTTAATCATTTGGACTGAATTTGTAAAGGATTAGTAACCTCAGGGGAGGTCAATGTAATTGTTCAAACTACAGGGGAGGTGGGTGTAAATGTCAGAAACCTCAGGGGAGGTGTCTGAAATTATCCCTAAAATTAATCTACGTTTTGATAGGACCGTTAACGCAGGACAAGTTCAGCCCCCGGGCTCGTCATCTATCAGAGAAGGAGCAGGGACGAAAACCAACCCCGGAAACTTTCTGGGAATCTTTAAAACCCTAAATCCCGGAAATTTAAAAGAAAAAAAAAAAGAAGTAAAATCCCCCTGCAGTTACGTTGCCTACTCTCCTCCGCCTTTTTTTTCAGCAGTCAGCAGACGGCAAGTCAAGTCGGTTCGGGAGGACTAAGTGAGGTTGGGAGCATATAATAGTGAAGTAGACTATGGGAATACCGGCATTCTATCGGTGGCTAGCAGAACGATACCCGCGCTCAGTTGTCGACGTTCCAATTGATACCACCGCTCCAAACCCTAATGGCCTCGAGTTCGATAACCTCTATCTGGACATGAATGGAATCATCCATCCCTGCTTTCATCCCGATGGATTGGTATCATAAAGACCAGACAAAATTACTGCTCGATATTTTTCTTACAAATGAACTGCTTCTCTAGTTTTTTTGTTGAACGGCTTTGTTTCGTAATAAATGATGCGGTATTCGTGAACTTCCTTCACAGCCTGCTCCGGAGACTTATGACCAAGTATTTAAGGCGGTATTCAAGTACATTGACAGATTATTCTCCATGATTAGGCCGCGCAAACTTTTTTACATGGCAATCGGTACGTCCATTCCCGTCTATTGCTAACTTATGCTGAAATCAACATCTGCAGCTTTATATTTCTTTCTTTTGTCTGCATTTACTGTTTCGTTTACTACTAGGTGGAGTTTGAGTTTACAACTCTTTTCTAAGTGCTTCATTAGGACGCC